CTGCCCTTTATCTCCCTCTCTCTCCTTCTCTCTCTGTCTCCCCCTCTCTTCGTCTCTTCCCTTCTCTTCGTCTCGCTCCTCTCTTTGTCTCTCCCTCCCTCTTCGTCTCTCTCCTTTTCTTCGCCTCTCCCTCTCTCTCCGTCCCTCACTCTCTCCATCACTACCTCTCATCCGCTCTCTGTCTCTTTCTGCGTCTATCTCACTGCCTGTGTCTCACTGACACTCTCACATTTAGATGCAAATTCTGCATGTCTTTGAGCAGGTGTGTTAATATTGAGAAGTGCCGGACCTACAAAAAGGCAATAGAATGTTCAAGATCTTATCCTGCAGATTATAGTGTGAGAAACGTTTCTCTGGCCTCAAAATTTTAGTTTCTAATGCCCTAGAACGCTTCGTTTGGGCGATATAGAGTCAAAAGATTGTTTTTTTAATGATATAGAGTGAAAAATCTTGCCGTATTTTGCGAGATATAGGAATATCACTGTAAAACAAACACTTTGTCCATGGGGTAGGGACTGTAATGTGTTAATATGTCATGTTTACAGAACAAATATTTTTTAAGTTGCATCGCGAGTAATATCCCGAGTTTCATAATACTTATAATATCCCGTTCTTTTGTTTGTCACTCACTTTAGGGCACTTCCGATATAATTCAACTATTTTAGAACGGATGCTCCTACAGTCTTTCTGTTCTATCAGCGCTATTACGATCTGGTTGATCTCATGCAGTAATCGACCCCTCACTGTCGTCTCCCAGCTCAGCATTACTTCAAATTACCACGTTCTCCAGCTCGTTCTGTCCTGCTCGACTCTACCCCTGGTCACAAGGCAACGGCCAACAACAATGGAGCTCGTGTGGATTGCAGTTTGAATGGAAATTGTTTGAAAATTAAAAAGAAAATCAGCAAAAATGTAATGATCTCATCCAGTAGATTACGGGGTCAGAAACGTTTCTTTGAGACATTCAGCCTCAAAATTTAAGTTTTTATTTTCCTAGATCGCTTCGGTTAGGAGAGATTTAACGTGTACAGTCAAAAATCTTCCTTTTTGTGTGCATTTTTGCGATATTCTAATAGGTACTCTGATATATATATATATATATATATATATATATATA